CCCGCCGCCCTTGGCCCCCCTGCAGCCCCCGCCGCCTCCGCCCGCGCGCAAAGGCTCCTACGTGTCGGCCTTCAGACCAGTGGTCAAGGACGCCGAGAGCATCGCCAAGCTCTACGGCAGCGCCCGCGAGGCCTACGGCGCGGGGCCTGCTCCTCCTGCCCGTGCGCCCGGGCCCGGCACTGGGACTGGCGGCGGCTACGTGAGCCCGGACTTTCTGAGCGAGGGCAGCTCCAGCTACCATTCCGCCTCGCCCGACGTGGACACTGCGGACGAGCCCGAGGTGGACGTGGAGTCCAACCGCTTCCCAGACGAGGAGGGCGCCCAGGACGATGCTGAGCCCAGTGCGCCCAGCGCGGGAGGCGGCCCGGACTGTGACCAGTCCGCTGGGCCCCCGTCTGCCGCCTCCTCAGGCGGGGACGGTCCCACAGACTCTCCTGACGACGGCAGTCCCCGCTCGCGGCGTCGCCTCGGGCCACCCCCGGGTCGGTCGGCGTTCGGGGACGTGGCGGCCGACGAGGTGGTGCGGAGACCCGAAAGGAGTCCGCCCAGCGGCGGCTACGAGCTGCGAGAGCCTTGCGGGCCCCCCGGAGGCCCCGCGACGGCCAAGGTGAGCCCCGCGCGCTGCCCGCCGGGGGCGCCTCCCCGCTGACCCCTCCGCACGGCCAGAGCGCGGGGCGGGCCCAGCCGCGGCAGAGACCGGGATTTCGTTCCGCGCAGGCGTTGGAGCAGAAGCGCGGCTGCTCTCCGCAGGCCCAGCCGCGGGTGCCCTGGAGCTGGGCTCGCTGGTCCCCGGGACCGGGGCTTCGGAGGATGGAGGCGCGGTGGGGTGGGGAGGGGCGGGGGCTCAGGCCTCCCCAACCGGTGTGCTTTGTTTTCGTGGATGGGAGTGAGGAGACGGGCAGAAATTGCCAGATATCCAGAAAGGGGGTCTGGCAGGAGAAAGAGGGGGAGGCCCGGCCCCCAGCGCGCCTGTCCAGAAGGGGATCAGAACCCCAAGGGAGACGAGCGGGCAGGGAGAGGAGGAGGCAGTCGCCCCCCAAGGTGCTCAGCCGTACGGGGTCCCCGGACCTCCCTCCCCCATCCAACTAGCAGTTTCAAACTCCGGCCTTGGGAGCTGCAGGGCCGGTGCCGGGAAGCCGCGTGCGGGGCGAGGCGGGCTCTGGGGTTGGCGGGGCTGGAGCTGAAGGAGCGGGCTGTGCCGAGGCCGGGATCCTTGGCCGTTCTGAGAGTAGGTGCGCACACCTGTACTTTTCCATTCGGTTCATTAAAACACGAATCATTAACCGGATGTGAAAGGCGTCATCTATGCCGGGCACCGGGCACCGGCGCGGGGGCGCGCGGGGGGGGGAGAATGTCGCCAAGGGGGCGAGCGCAGAAAGTGGGGGCGGTTTTGAACGGCTGTGGAAGCCGCTTTGTGTTTGGAGTAATTTGCTCGCGGGCGCCAGTAATTACCCTGCATCTACGGCGGCGGCGAGGACGCCAGAGTGGGCCGCGTGCGTCACCGCGGTCCGGGCTCCGGGTCCCGCGCGCCAGCCCACTCCGCACCCCTCGGCGCTTCCTGTCGGCCGCGGGCGGGGCGGCCACCGAGCGCCCCATTAATAGCCTGTCATTTCTCGGCCGCCGCAGGTGTACGCGCCCGAGAGGGACGAGCACGCGAAGAGCGCGGCGGCGGCGGCGGCGGCGGCGACTTTGGGGCCCGCGGCCTCCTACCTCTGCGCCCACGAGGCCCACGGTAACGCAGCCGAGGCCGCGGGCCGCTGTCCCGGGGGCGCGCAGGCGGAGGGCCGGGCCCAGGCGAGGCCTGCGGGGAAGGACGAGCGCAAAAAGACAGCAGCGAGAGGAAGGGAAAGGGAAAGAGAAATGAGGAAAGAAAAAAGCAGCTAAACCAAAAATCCCAACTCCCCGATTTGGTTCCCGGAAAACAGGACCCAGCGGCCCCCTCCATAGCGCGCAGACACCGCCTTGAACCTTCTAAAACCCACTGCGGGCCTCTCCTGCAGTCCTCTTATTTATTCAGCAAGTGTGTGCGGCCTGGGGTCCCCCGTGGCCTGGCCGGGTCTGACTGGACGGCACGGCGGCTGGCTGCGCACGCGGGTACCCCAGCAGCGCCGGCACCGCTGCGGTGCAACGCGCGGGGAGGGGGGCTGCACCGCTCCCGGGACCACGTTGCGCGCAGAGGAGGGCCCCGGGCCTTGGAAATCCGGGCTGGCAGAGGCAGCCGAGCCCTGGCTGGACAGTGTGTCCCCAACACCAACACCACCCCAGATCGCCACCCGGGCTGCAGTCTCCGCGGGAGTATCCCCGACAGAGCCGGCAGCCACGCGCGCTCGCGGTGCCCCAGTATCTGCGCGCGATGTAGGTCGCTTGTCCCTGGTGGACTCGGCAGCTCGTCTCACTCTTCCGAGGGGTTGGGGAGGGGGCGTGAAGCCCGGAGAAAGAGCAGACCCTGTCATGCGAGGGGGAGGGGTGCCCGGCCCAAAGCCTGGGGGCGCGAGCCTGGGCGCGCAGCCGGGAACCTGAGGCGGCCACGACGTTTTTAATTAGGGCTTGGGCGCCCCAACCGCGGCAGCTCTGGCAGTATCGGGGTCACGGTTTCTTTGCCTCTCCTTGAAACTCGATTTATTGCCTTTAAAGAGCCGGAAAAGGAAGACAATCACTCGACCGCCGATGATTTGGAAACGAGGAAATCCTACTCAGACCAAAGGAGCATCTCCCAGCCAAGTCCCGCGAATACGGACCGAGGTGAGCCCAAGGGGTCCTCGCGCCCCGCCCGTAGCTGGAAGCTGGCACCCGGGTGGCCTAGGTTTCAGGGGGCTTGCAAGCAAGACTTTCCATCGTGATCCAGCAGCTGCCAGTTCTCTTTCCTGTCCGAGCGGATACCTATTAAATATGGGGAGGGGGGCTTTCAGGCCGGAGCTGCTGAGTCCTCGGTGGCTCGGGGCGCTTCAGGGTAAGGGCAGAGTGTATAAGGAAAGGGAATGGAGGGCCACCTCACCACCTAAAATAGGTCAAAGGGCACTTCCTTCCCAAGGACGACCCATCTTCCCTGGGCCCACTCACCTGCACTCAAACATAGCTGGGGGGGGGGTCTGGAATCCTGTTGACCACCTCCTCCAAGGGCAGAGGGTCTGGATTCCGTCCCTTGCTTGGCACAGTTCCCAGGAAGTTCACTCCTCCCCTCTCAAGGCCTCTGGGGGTGCAGACCCCCTCTCACCTGCCCTTGCATCCCAGGGGAAGACGGGCTCACCTTGGATGTCACGGGAACTCAGCTGGTGGAGAAAGACATTGAAAACCTGGCCAGAGGTGAGGTTAAATCTGGGAAATGGAGGTACGCTGTGCTGGAGGGAGGTGGACCCTGCCTGTGGAGGGGACAGAGTATAGTTCCGAGAGTAGGTTTGTGGGAAGGCCATGGTTATTGGCGGGGCAGGGAATCAGTTTTTATTTCCCTGGGAAGAAAGATAATGCTCTGGACACACCCTGGCACAAAGGTATAAGTATAGTTAGTGGATGGGGACCAAGTCCCTGGAGGTTTATTGAAGTATGGGCTTCAAGGCCTGAGTGTGTCTTGGACAAGCTAGTAAGAAAGAGTGATGGTTCTCAGAACTTGATGCTGTGGCCAATCAGGCAGGACAATCTGGAGTTCCCCAAACTCCCTGGAAAACAGAATTATGTTGGACGAGCAAGATGGCAAGGAGGCATGTATGTTGGGACCACGGAAGAGGTTACAGGGTAACCCCTCCCCCTAGGAACTGATGTATAATCGCAGTGAGGCTGGAACTTGTTTGCAGAATGGCACACCCAGCACTGCTGCTCAGCCTTCGAGGGGAGAAGGTGGCTTGAAGCACAGAGGAAGGGGGAGTCTGGGGTCCCACTCTGCCTTTGCATCTTCCATACCTGTGTTTCAGGGGAGCCTTCCAAGGGGAGGCTCCAAATACTAACAGCCAGATGGTTGGGGCAGCCTCTGGAACTGGACCCCTCTGGAACTGGTTTCTGAGGGTACTGAACAGAGCCGTCCACACAGCCAGCCTATGGGCAGTCGTGGAATTGGGGGGAGAAGGGAGACGAGCGTTAGTGGGTCTTCTGTGGTCTCCCATCTGTCTTAGTTACAGATTTTACAGGATATGCCATTACCTCCAAAATCACTGGTTTTTGTTTGTTTTATGGTCCTGGGGATTGAACCTCGGGCCTCATGCATGCTAGGCAAGCACCCTCTCACTACACCCCCAGCCCTCGTTTATGTTTTATATGAGGGTTCTTAGCATGGAGGGGGCAGTCTTCGAATCTCCTGCAATTGTAGGCAAAGTGTTAGCATGTGTATTTCTCTGGGAAGGTTGTTCAAAGCTTTGACCAGATTCTCCCTGATGTGTATCAAGATTAGGATTAGGACTGACCCTTGCAGAGGGAAGTCACATTTTTAAGGGTCATCCATCCTCTAAGGTTAGGGAGTTAGGAACAGTTAGGAACAGTTTAGAACAGTTTAGCAGATGCTGGGCTGGTTGTTTCCCAGAACCAGGGCCCGGAAATCCAAAATAGGTTCCATCCTTAGGAATTTGAGTCTCCTGGTTATCCTACCCCTAGCCCTGTGACTTTGCTCAGATCCTTTGAGTGCAAATGGAAAGCCAGAATGCTGAGGGCCACTAACCCAACTTGGGTCCCAGGACCTCAGTTCCCAGTGGGTCCCTAGAATTCCTCACACCTCCCTGCTCCTGACATCCTCCTCTGTCCCCTTCACAGAGGAACTGCAAAAACTGCTCCTGGAGCAAATGGAGCTCCGCAAGAAGCTGGAACGAGAATTTCAGAGCCTCAAAGGTACTTCCGTCCCTCCCCCACCCCACCTCAACAGTGTCACCCAGACCTGTTCTGGGAGCTGGGTGCAGGCAGCTGCCACCCTGGACCCCCATGAGATCAGAACTCTCCTTTCCTGGGTTTCCAGCTAGGCGAGTGACTTGGGGGGAGGCAGGGAGGAGGATGCGAGGGAGGCGGAAGTGAAACTGGGGGAGGAGGCAGCGCGTAACAGCGCTCACTTAATCAATTTGCACAGATAATTTTCAGGATCAAATGAAGAGGGAATTGGCTTATCGAGAAGAAATGGTGCAACAGCTGCAAATTGTCAGAGGTAAGACGGGAGTCAGGTGAGCGCACGCAGGGCCCTAACTGCCGCTCCTCTGGCAGGAGCCGCGATGTTGGCTCAGTCATTTGGATTTAAATTGAAGGTAATTTAACAATTATTTTTTTATTTAATATCCTTTGTATACTCTGATTAGCCTCAGAATGGCAAGCGAGCCCAGCAAACGGCTTGCAGGCACCATTACGTGGAGTGATTGAACTTCTTATCGCGGCAATTTCCATGGTTTCTAAATTAAAAATCGAGGCGTAAAATTACCTGGGAAGTAATGCCTAAGTTTGCTTTAATTTTGGTTAGATCCGTCTGCCTTTAAGCGCCATCCCAGGCCATTTCCTCCCTCTGCCAGTCTGCAGTTTGGAGCGCTGGTGCCCCTCCCCGCGTCCTCCCAGGAGTCTTCTTGGAGGGGCTGCGGGAGGGGGAGTGGGATGTGGCTCCAGCTGTGACCCCGCTGGCCGACCCCGGGGCCCTCTGCTTTTCCTCACTTGCCCGCCCGTCCTTGCCTTCCAGACACCCTGTGTAACGAACTCGACCAGGAGCGGAAGGCACGCTATGCCATCCAGCAGAAATTAAAAGGTGCAGAACTGAGAAACAAAGACAGAAAGGGTATCAGGGGCTGGCCGGGGCCCTACATGTGTGAATGGATGAGGGGTGGTGGGATGGATGAATGGGAGAGCTTGTGAGAGGGCAGGCCAGGGCTACTTGGATCAAAAACCGAGGAGAGGGAAGTGGGGCTTGAGGGTAGTGGGGGGCTTATTCTAGAACGATGGGTAGGAAGGAACAGCCTTTTGAGCTCTGGGTGTCCAAAAAATCTGCCTTCGGAGCCCCCTGGCCTTGGGCAGGTCAGTCCCTCTTTCTCTGAGCCTAATTTTCCTCTCGGGTAAGATGGGGCTACTGAACCCCAGGGGTGGTTCTCAATCACCAGGTCTCTCTCTGCCTCCTTCCCGGCCCGCTGGGTTGAGAACCCCTGAGCCCAAAGGGTCGCTGAGACCGAGGAGGGGGACGGACCGGCTGTGCGAGGCAGGCGAGGCCCCCAACGTGGCCGGTGCGACTCTCTCCCCAGAAGCCCACGACGCCCTGCACCACTTCTCCTGCAAGATGCTGACGCCCCGCCACTGCACCGGCAACTGCTCCTTCAAGCCCCCGCTGTTGCCCTAGGGCCGGCCTGGCCGCGCCCGTGCGCCCTCAAGCCATGCTGCTCCTTCTTGTAAATACCCGCTGCGACGCCCGGGCCGGAGCAAGGAACAAGCCATTCGGACCGACCGATGTAAATACAGCCCGCCCGCCCGCCTCCCGGGCTCCCCGGCCTGGCTGCCCTCCTCCCGGGCCTGGCTCGTTTCCAAGTGTAAATACCGCGTTGCCCCGGGTTAAACTCCAGGGCCTCGGAACCCAAGGGGTTAACTGGACCCCCGGGAAAAGGGGGACAAAGAGGACCGCTCGGCGGCGCGCCCACCCCCACCAGCCTCGGTCCGATCGTGAACACAGCGTAGCAACCCCCCTGCAGCGGCCGCCCCCTCCCTGTCCGCTTGTGAAACTCTTGCTCCTGAGGACAAAGTGGCTAAGTGCAATGGATGTAAAAGTACTGAGTCTCTTGGTTCGGTGTTCGTTCGCGTTCATTGGTTTGTGAGCCTCAGTTATTTTTTTCTTCTTCCGGGCCCCCTCCCCCTCCCGTTTGGAAGTTCCTTTTTTGCTTTGTCTACTTTTGTTGTTGTTGTTGTAACCTCTCGATGTAACGGCACTTTAAAAGGGCGACAACTGACTCTGGAGATGGCGACCACCTGGAGCCTGTTTGGGGGAGGCTACCCTGTACCCGTGACTTTGGTTTTTAATAAAAGAAAACTCTGGCACTTTTTGGGGTTGCGGAGGTGGGCGTGTGGAGGAGGCGGGGAGGGGCGAGTGGGCAGAGGCTGTGCCAGAGGTGCCGCGGGGGCCCCCTCCTGTGCCTGGGCGGGAGCTGTGCTTGCTCCAGTCCACAGCAGCCGGCCTCTGCTGACCCCCCAGGCACACCCAGCTTTGCCCCTGGGCCACCTCCTCCACCCCGGAACCTCCCTTTGACCCGGTTGGGGAAAAGGGGGGATTTCATGGTCCCCTGTACAACCATCCCTTCCCTCAAGCTCTTGTAAGGACCCAGAGTTCACTCATGTGGATGCCCACAGGGCCTGCTCAGCACCCTGGGTTTCACCCCGCTGGCTGGCACAGGCGCTGCTGGGACAGGGTGCAGGGCAAAGCATGGCGGGCAGACCTGGGCCCCTGCCTGGCCTGCTGCTAAAGAAAGGAGGGAGCCCAGGCTGCACCTGACTTGAGAAACTCAGGGGAAGTGGAGTGCCCGGGGCTGCAGCACCACTGGAGCCTTGGGTGCCCGGGTCTCCTAGCACGCCTCTCCCAGTGACCCGTTTCCTATACACCTGCCAGTTGGGCCGCAGATAATGGAAGTAAGTTGCAGAACACTGATTTTTTTTCTTGGTGGGGCGCAAAGTAGGAATGCAGTAGGAAAGGGCGAGGTATTGGGTATGGGGCTGAATTGTACCTCCTGGTCTGCTAATCGGACGTCCAGGTGCACTCTTCTCCGTGTGTGTGTGTGTGTGTGTGTGTGTGTGTGTGTGTGTGTCTATAAAATGACTCCAGGGCCGTGGTCCATGGACAGTCGTGCAAGCTCACTGCGAGGTAAACTGAGCCCAGGACCAGCGCTGCGATGGCTCTGCTCAGGGACACCCCAGACTTGCTCTGCGCGTCCCTCGGGCAGGGACCTGGAGGCGGGCATCGGCCTGGAGGAGCCCGGGGCGCGGGCTGCGGCGGAGCCGGCAGGCAGGGGGCTGGGTGCTGGGGGCGCTCCGGACTGCTGGGGCGGGCGCAGCCCGCAGCCCTGGAAGCCTGTCCCGGACCTCCCTGAGCTTGGGCTGTGGGACCTCAACTCCCAAGGTATTTCGAGGGCCGCGTGCAGCCAGGACAGGAGGAAATACTGGCGGTGAGACAAACTGAACAAACTAAGGCGTCGCCCCGAGTTCTCCCAGGCAGAACTCTCGGGGGCGTCAGAATCTTTCCTGTCAGTGGACCCACCAGATCACTTCCCCGTCATACCCCAAAAGTGACATCAAGAGAGGAAGTGATCCAGGGCGCGCCAGGGGCAAAGGGAGCTGGGATGGGGCTCGTTTCTTTCCCCAAGCATAAATGCACCCCTGAAACAAGACGTTCATTCTCTGCAGAATGGACACAGCGGGGACCACCCAGGCAGGAAGTTCCTTCCGTGGCCCACGCCCAACAGGGGAGCTTAACCTAATGCTCCCCAGATTCCCCGAGTGGAGAAAGCACCAGACAGCTGGGGCCCGCCAGAAGAGGCGCCCCATCTGGGCCGGAACCTCTGCGGATTCTGGGTGTGGGCGGATCCGATCCGCAAAGTAGAGTTGGAAAAAACCCTCCTGGGCTCCTCCTCCCTTTCGGAGTGCCCCCCCATGTTAATAACCGAACGATTGGTATGGATCTAATTATCAATAATTATACGAATTATTGCTGATTGCGGGGCTCGTAGCTACTTTAATTAGTTTACCAGATTCTAATTAAGTTAAATGAAACATTAATAGGGAAAATATGCTTTAGAAAAACACCCAGGATTTTAAGTCTGTTTCTCGCCACAACGTTGCCACCTTGCGACTGATTTGGGGCATTACAGCTGACGCCCGAAGGCCCAGAGCACGCATCTTGGCTCTCGAGGGAGAAGGCTTGCGGGTTGAGAGGGACTGCTGAGGCTCACAAGGTCCTCGGGATGTTCCTTCGCGCTACTGGGTTCGGCACCGCCCCAGGATGTCTCCATGAGATCTGGCTGTGGAGTCCAAGGTGTGAGGTAAGGGATCAGTCAAATGAGTCCCTTCTACCCCGCACCATATTCCTCCAGAACTCCAGAGTCTTCTTGGGATGCGGATGTGACAGCTCGTCCCTATCCCCGGCTGTCTAGCAAATCGGGGGTGAGAGTCGGAGCCAGTGGGGAATGCACTTGGGGACAGTATCATGTTGCTCTGTTTTTGACTCCCCGGTGAGAAACCAGTATGTGGCTTCCAACTTCCTTCTCCTCTGGCAATGTGGGTAACCTGTCCCCCAAAGCACCCAGAAGACCCCCAACTCAGGGCACACAGGGAACCCTGTGTTCTAATGACACTTCGTTCCGGAGACCAGCGTGAGTGTGTGGGCCTGCCTCCAAACTGTGTCTTCATAACTGGGGGTCTTGCTTTGCCCTTTCTTGTGATCCCTTGATACAACACCCCGTGCTCCAAAGGTACACAACTGTCCACGTGTAAGGTTTCCAACTCAGCCAGTTCACGTAGGGGCTAGAAATGTCTGCGGGAAGAAATCCCTAGGCGCTTCTGGACAACTGCCACAGAGAAGCAATTAAGCTCATTTGCCTAAGGTTAATTAAGCACAAGCTTACTGTTCAGAAAGACGATCCCTCATCAATAGGATTAGTTTGGGGGGCAAGTGTCAAGTGTCACATTATTGTCAACCTACAATAGGAAAACTTTCTTCCCATTCCAGCCCTGTCCCAAAGAGGGGGCTCCCTCACCCCTTCATGGTTTGCAGAATCCCTGGCCGCATACCTGTCCACCCAGTCCCTCTGAGCCTGCTGTAAAGTGTGGCCTTGATTCTTTGCAGAAACACAATTTCTGCCTTGAATTCAGCACACACATACACACACACTCATGCAGAACCAGATCTACCGCTCTTGGCATTAATCTTAGCCAGTCTATGACCCTTCCCCAGGCCAAAGGCAGCACATGTTTACTTAAGGCCGAAAACTCTGCGGCCAGACTGACAGAGGTCTCAACTGCTGTGGACTAGTCTTGTGACGTCGGGCAAATTGTTAAATCTCTCAGCACTTCAGCTCCCTCATCCGTAACAGGAGGGAAACAGCACCCAGAACTGAGCAGGCGCTGCTGAGAACAGCCCCTTGGAAACCAGAAGCGGTACTGTGTCGGAGTTTGGTAAGATCACCATTCCCTGTGGGTTCATTTTCCAGCCCTGAGATTCAAGAGTCCCGAAATGGGCTCCAGTCTGTGGCCGTCTACTTTCCCGGCGGCCAGGAACGAGGACGCAATGATCCCTTGTCCACACTGGCCCCTTGAACTTCGTGGAGACACAGTGGTAAGAATCTATAGCACCCTGGTTGGAAAGAATCTTTCAGGGCCAGCGCTTTAGTTGACATCAGCAGTTGAGACCTCTGTCAGTCTGGTTGCAGAGTTTGCGGCCTTAAGTAAACATGTGCTGCCTTTGTCCATCTCAAGGAGCACAGGACTGGCCCACGACCACTCAGCAAGTCAGAACAGAGCCAGGAAATTCAGCCAAGTCCTTGGATCCTCCAGGACTAGAAATTGCCTATTTCCTACTTCGTGGTCCAAGAGAATGGTCAGGCCAAGAGGAGTGATACATGTCTTCATAACACTCAGAACAGTCCTTGGACCACGTTGCTCGTGCTTCTCTATTTTTTTAAAGTATTAATCATTTAACAGATTATTTATTCATTCATTCATTCATTTATTGTCTTTCTTGAGACAGGGTTTCATTATGCAGTTCAGGCTGGCCTTGAACTTCCAATGATTGTCCTGCCTCAGCCTCCCAAGTGCTAGGAGGCCTGTGCCACCACCTCCGGCTTCCGCTTCTGTTTTACCCCATAATACTCTCTTCCTGTCTCCTTCCCTGTCCTGCGCTGAAGGAGTGGGAGCCATACACACTAGGAGTTTCTTATGCACGCTGGAGGGAGAGCTTTAAAACTACCTACCCAATTCATTGCCCGAGTGGCTTCCAAAAACCCCCTCGACTTTAGGAGAAAGGGAGAAAACCAGCAGCAGAGATGGTCCTCTGGGAGCCCGGAGGAGGGACTCTAGTCTCGGCTTTCACCTGGGAGGGATCATAGTCCACCGGACGCCGCCCGGGGGCTGCCAGCCACAGGCAGTGTCCTAGCGGGTGGTTCCCCGCCGCATCCCACCCCTGCCCTGCTGCGGGGAGCGCGCCTGGGAGCCCACGGCGTGCTCAGGCACACGCAAGGCAGACGCCCTACTTTTCTTTTGGGGAAGAAGTTGGTACTTTAAAGGACATTGGCAGAGTCATCATAGGAAACCTGAACTTTGCTGAGACTCCCCCTCCGCCTGCATCTTACTAAAGTTGATTGCTTTGCATCTGGGTGAGCTGGGATGAGGCCAGCCAGGCGCCCTCTTTCAGGTCCTCACTAGTTACATAATCTCGCCCGGGTGGCTGGAGGTCTCAGGGCCCCCTGTGAAGAGGTAGCAGTGACCCTTGCCGGGCAGCGAGGTCCACAGTGTGAAAGTGACACCGGTGCCGCCCGGACGCCTGGTGGATACCGAGAAAGTGGCGGGCGTTATTATTACTTAGGGACGCAGGAGCGGGTCGCTATCGTCCCACGAACCCGTCTCGGGAAGGCCCGAGTGTATTATTACACTAAGTCCTGTTGTGCACGTTTCGGGACTGAAATCGACCGACTTTAGCAAAAGTCATTTCTTAGTCGTAAGGCGCCTCGATGTTCAGGACGGTCCGGAGGGAAGCACAAGCAAGATGGGAAAGACCCCCAAATTCGGACCCCGCTTAGGCTCCATCTCTCCTTATTCCATCTACTGGGATGGGATTTCCTTCGTATCAAACAAAACTCGGAGCCTGCGGGCGGTGTTTATTTATCTTGCGAAGAGGGAAAAATATGGAACGCTTCACGAATTTGCGTGTCATCCTTGCGCAGGGGCCATGCTAATCTTCTCTGTATCGTTCCAATTTTAGTATATGTGCTGCCGAAGCGAGCACGACTCCTAAGCTTTCTCGAGAGGTATATAAAGGCCACAATATG